AAGATATTTTAATTGGACTTACCTAAGCTCAAAGTTTTCATAAAAATCACGGGATTTTTTGTCTAATTTAAAATTTTCATATGATGAATTTAATTTAGTGCGACGTATTTAACTTTAAAAAGGCCATTTTTCATGTAGAATTTGTTTAAAAAAAGGAAATTTCAAATGATTGTGTTGTGTATATATTAATTAATTAAGAATGGTTGACGAAATTGTACATGACGAAATTCATATTTATCGCCAAGGATCTTTTGACGAAATCGATGAAATTAATTTAGCTGACCAATTCAGATATTTGTGATACTTGTTGATTGATTCCCATACATATATTGATTGTTTTATATAGTGCGAACATACGTCAATTTCGGACAAGGATAGAGATGGGAAATTTGCTGGTAGTACGTAATTACCATACAGCCGATTTGTTTTTTTGGGCCTTCTTTCAAACCCTACACACATTTAAACTCGATAGGTCGGTCACTTATTTATTTTAAACAATTAATTGTTGCACCCAACTTAATGAGCTTACATGTATATCTTATTGTGTATGCGTAACTGGTCAGAAAAAATTTATTTACTCTACCAAAAAAAAAAACTATTTTACTATTCAATAGCCCGTCAAATCAACGGCATTACATCATAACTAATGGACTATAAGGTATTCATAACGTTATGACCATACCATACTGAATTTTGAGGTTCAAACAAAATCGACGCATATGCTAAAAGTACATTTTTTGAGAACCTAGGGTTTTAATGATTTTATATAACAATTCATTATGTAGAGTAACGTTGGATATTTACCATGATGATTATTCTCATTCTTTTTTATCATGATGATAAGACAAAGATAATCGTTTTTTTGGTAACACCACTATACTGTTATATATAAAATCAATATTTGGCCATACCTTTGATCATTGGTTATGAAACTTTGGTCGTATAATTGGTCAACGTCAATTCCGTCAAATGCGACGAAATTAACAACCGATTCGACGAAATAATTTTTCGCCCTGCAAAGTATTTCGCCAATATTCTTAGTATATATAGTTAAAGTTAAGCGCTACCAATTTTTTTTTTTAAACAGATGGAAGTTCTAAGAAAGAAAAGATGTCGGACCAATAAAAAAAGCTTAATATTAATCTGACTATGAATTACACCCCTTCCGTCCCTTTGATTTATATAATAATAGATAAACTTATGGTTCAACATTTTAATAGAATTAAATGCCCTCTAAATTCAAGTAATAAAATGAATATAGAATGTTAATTGATTGATCAAATTCATAATATTCTTTCGTTTAAAAAAAAACAAAAAAAAACAAAAATAACTAATTAAAAAAAAACATGTCATCCATTTTTTTATCTATGTGCTTCATTAAGACCATCCCCTCCATTGACAGTGTAATTAGTGAAGCGTCATATATAAAAACAAGCCCAACCGCGTTATTGAATGTTGATGAGAACATATTTGCTGAATGACGAATATACGTTGCAATTAGTCGTTAAAAAACTTGCATATTCTCAGTTTTGACCGTGCTCAATTAAAGGTCTCTAAAACAGCATTAGAAGAATATAAAAGATGGAAAAAGTTAATACTGAAGTGAAGGGTTGCAAAATTTG